TAACAAGAAGCTACTAGGAACAAGTGCATCGCTACTAGTAACAAGTGGCTGAATGTGACAACATTGCAACTCTGCAAATGGCTCCGAGAGCCATCGGCTTGAGCTCGATGAGGTGGAGAAAGCTGGCGAGGGCTGCAATGGCCCTTTGGTTCAGCCTCTGCCCCAGGAGTCGAGATGATGTGAAGCATCGGGTGGGAAGGAACATGTATTGTTTCTACTAGCTTCTTGTTCCTTGTAGTAAGGCACTTGTTACTAGAAGCGATGCACTTGTTCCTAGTAGCTTATTGTTTCTATAAAAACGACTAAACAAGTTTTTAACACATCGATTTGGAATTGATCATTCTTCAAAGTCAATTCGCCAGGCGCAAGACCCCAGCATCGCGAAAGTTTCTTTCAAGATCTTTTGATTGTGAAGCCTTCCGTTGTACTTAGGCGAACACTGAGTTTGCACGAATACACTATGTAGTTACATATTGTCTACAAAACTTTCTTGTTTGTTTTTTAGATAGTTTTTGATAGTTGTACCCTAAAGAACATCCTAAACACTTATTAGTTATCCAAGCAGTCCATTCAGCTTCAACAGATGGCGAGTTTGACCTACAGTATAAGAAAGACACTCACTAGTCTTTACTTGCTGCACTCTCAGGTTGGGCAGATGTGACGCACTCCACCCAGTCGACTGCGTTGGGGACTTAGCTCTGGTGAGCTGCACATAGCTGCGCATAGCTTCGCATAGCTCGCATCTGCATTTTTGCCACTGTTCTTAGGTGCTTGAAGAGTGGGGTGCGTGGAGCACTTGTGCACCTTGACGGGAGAACGGCAACTGCGTTCTTTCTCTTTGGACAGGATGTAGTTGTGCAGGTATCTGAGATACCAGGCCTGACAACTGTTTAAAATCAACAATTGCGATCCCACATTTGTCACATGCTTCTTATTTGCACATCTTCTGGCACATTGCGTTAATTACAACACTATTATGATATTATCTTCTCACGTGCCTTTCAAATATTTGCCTCCATGAACCTGACCTACATAATTACATGTTGAATTGAATAGGTCAAGTGTTTGAAGTTTGACATTATGATTAGGCTCGCAAGGCAGATAGAAGCAGACGGGCCTCCTTTTTTCTCCAAACTTTTCCCCGCTTTTGTTGCTCAACACCTTTTGCCATTCTCTTTCTTGTTGGGTTTTATGCAGGTTTTGAGGTTGGCAATCTTGTTTCCAGCAAGCCTTGAAGCCCCAAATACCCGTTGTCAGCTTTCAGCAAACGAAGTGCTGGGAGGCACCCGAATCGATGGGTTGAAGTTCATTATTTCCAGAGGTTCTCCTCATAACGATCTCCGGATCAAAATGGAAATGAGAAGCATTACTCCAAACGTCAGTGCATTTCTTTAAACAAAATGGAACCTTGAGTGCCTTCCAGATCCGAAGAAGATGCCATGACCTGCAAGGACCGGCAGTGTGATGGTGGGCAGATGTTCCGCGAACGCAAGATGCCGGGAAACCCAGCTACTAGGAGCAAAGGGCATCGCTACTAGGAGGAAGGACGCTACTAGGGGCTCCTGGCCTTACTACTAGGAACAAGAAGCTACTAGGTCCAAATCCATCATGTTGAGTCACATACTACTTACTACTATTACACTTTGTTGCTGCTAAGCTCCAGGTGCAATTCACATCGATTTCGATCACAAGGGTGTATGGCCTTAAGACGATAGGCTCTGGCTACTGCCAGCCCGTCCTCATTCTGCCGTCTCAGGCTGACTGAAGCACATCGGGGAGGCCTCTGGATCGCTCAATCGAGCGACTGCTTTGCTTCTTAACTTCTTAGCTATTTGTCGCCCTCCAGCTGTTAGGATGGAGGCCATCGCTCTTTGGTTGGAGGCCATTGCTATTAGGATGGAGGCCTCATTGTCATATGCTTCCGAACGTGAACGAAAAGGCCTCATTGAAGCTCATTGGTCCCATGATGTCCTATGCATTGCTGGCACACCAAGTCGCTGTCGCAGGCAGCTGCGAGGGCCAGTCCTTCAAACAAGTGCGACCCTGCAATCAGCAGCACGGATTGCAAGATCACGTTTCTTTGGCTTTCGAGGACCTTCCCTTACTCCATATTACTCCATCTATTTTCGGTACTGGATTCTACTGGATATGTTTCTATTGCGTACAGTATAGGTATTGGCGGGTCTTGTGCGTGCCGCCGTTTTGCTGTTGATGGCTGTCAACGGTGGCTTTAATCTCGAGAACTCAAGGAGTGACTTTGAATCACTTTGATAAGACCTTCTTGAACATGCTAGCTGTTATTAAACGCTTAGAAGGAACATCAAACTCTCCTTGGCCACATTTGGTGCCACACTCGATTTTTCACCCAAGGCAACCTTGTGCTCGAGCTGACAACGATTGTATACTTTCTGCGTCGGGCTCGTAGCATGGGTTGTGCGGTGGAACTGCTGGGGGTAATCTTGGCCTCAGTTAGTACCAGTAAAATGACGACAGATGAGCTTGGCCTTCCGAGGGCACACGAGAACACAGGCGAACACTGCTCTCTTGAAGAATATGGGGGCTATTACATTGTTACATGCTGTTTATTTCTGCGTTTATTTGTCAGAGTCCTTTTCCATCTTCTTCCTGTTGATGGGTTGAGAAATACACTACAGGCCTCCACATGTACAACCCAGCCAGTAGTAATACAATGTACTACATCATTCTATCGTCCCCACCGTGTACCCATCCACTTGTGGCCTGACGAGGTGGGGCTCTTGGTTCCGCCCGCCTTGTTTGGGGTCGGAGGATTTGGATGTTGGTTCGGTCAATCGAATCTGTTTGAGCCCAGAGGCCGAGAGAGGCCAAGTAGCGTCCTCTTGTTCCTAGTAGCGATGCCAGGAGCCCCTAGTAGCTTCTTGTCACTAGTAGTAAGGCCAGGAGCCCCTAGTAGCGTCCTTGCTCCTAGAGGTATAGCAGGATTTTTTTAAAAAACTATTTACATAGAGAGGTCGCAAAGGCAATCAAAAGCAGGTGGCCAATCAGAATGCAAAGAGGTCGCTTTTATCATTTTGTAGAGGTCGCCAGGTCCCTTTTTCCAAATGCTAGTAGGCCTCACAGAATTGCGCTTCAGGGCACAAGAGCATTGCGTGCCGCTGCGTCCCGCTGCGTGCCGTGATTCATTCCGTTTTCCGTGACAAGATTCTGTTGGACCTTTTGCATTTGTCGTTCGCAGAGGGTTCTGAAAGAACTTCCTTCACCATTCATTGTTGCAAGACATGGAACCCTGGTTCACTGAAACATGATTGGGATATAAAACTGGGAGCTCAGAGCCGATGTACGGATCCATTCGGTGGTCCCCGGACGTGACAGATTTGAAGCTGTTCGCTTGTGCATTTGCTGTCGGCCAGGTCCCCGTGCACTGCGAACTGCGAGGATGGGGTCACGAAGCGACACCGCGAGGCGCAAGAGACTTCTGGACATGGTGCTGTACGGCAACCAACATCCAAAGCGGAGGATGCTTTCTTCAAATCAGCTCAAGAACCCAGCATTTGTAAATTGGAGTTTCAGCGTTTCTGGTCTCAGCAAAAAGCGAAAGCGTAGTCACTCAAAGACTCACGAGTTCACAGCAATTGTTCTTCTTTTCGTCAGCCAAGTTCCCAAACGTCATGAGACTCTCTCCATTTTGCTCCTCGGCGCAGATCCAGCAGCGCGCCGGTCGGGGCGGTAGGATGCTCAGAAATTGGATGCTGTTTTTTCCTTTGGAGATACTCAAGTCGGAGAGGTCCTGTCTTAAGCGAATCTTGAATCTTCAAGTTCTAGACAAGTTAATTAACCCGACCAACAACTACTCACATTTGACCCGTACACCTTGTTTGTGGACAATCATATAGTCTGATGATCTTGATGAGCGCCAGAGAACTCCATCATCAACTCCACCAAAGAAGTGGGTGAAGAACAAGGATTAGACGGCGAAGACGAATGCGCCCAGGCGACCCATGCAAGGGATCCCTGATGGAAGTGATGTCGTGCTCGTGGTGAACTGAGTTCGTGCTTGTTGGGAAGAGATCATCTCGTGTGGTTAGCAGATGCTTCTGCCACAAAGATCTTAAAGTTCTCAGATACTCGTGGTAATTCTGTAAATATATGTAAACATAGAATAACATAAGATCTACTTGATGTCAAAGGTCAGGGTCATTTGATCACTGAGGGGACCTGGATGTGAAGAGAAGGACTGTGTGCCGGGTAACCCAGATGGGGAGCGAAAGGATGGTCAGCAGAAACAAACTACAAGACGTCGAAGGGAAGCGATTCGGGCTTGCAGCCCGAGCAGATGAGTCTCAAGTACCGAACGTGAGACAGTATATGTATGTATGTATACCTATGTATACGAGCTCGTATACGTATGTATGTATGTATATGTATAATATTACGCTCAAATTGTGTGCCCACTTGTTTTGTGACATCCCTAAATTTTGAATGCACGTGGAATTTGCTGTGGTACTGTCATTTATGGCCCTTGTCTCCAAAAAACTCTGCCAGCTGCCATCGCATGGTGCATTCCGGGTTCTTGGTGGCGTGTATGACATCGACATCGACTCCACCAGCCACCCGGTGCCGATTCGACACTCTCACGCAGGTGGGGCCCTTGGGACACCTGGAGCGGCTGTTCTTGCACATGTGGAGGCAGGGGCATGGCCTCACACGGTCAGTGTTTACAGTAACCATTGGCTTTGTGCAAATCCATGCTGGTATCTACTGGCCGTGTTTTGAGAGTATGCAGATGTCAGATGTAATCAGATATATGGAGGGGTTCTGGACAATCCTGCATTCCTTACACCAGCCAGTTGTTCACACCTGCAGGGGGAACAATGCGTCGTAATCGACAAGTGCAGGCAGCCGAACACTGCAGAAGTCAGTGATAGACCAAACTTGAAAACCTTTTCCTCCACTTGTTTTTGTTTCCACACCGGGTCCGGGAAGATATTGAAACTTGAAAAGTTTTCAGCTGTCGGCGCAGCAATACACAGACTTTGCAATTGTCATTGGTCCTTTGTTGCGTTTGTTGGACTTTAGTCTTTCTGATGCGCTCAACAGAGGCCTACAGATTGTGCTTGGCACATTGGATTCAGCTGTATACACTTTCTTAGATTCTTTTCTCCTTCACATGCTATCACTCATCAATGTTTACAGGCCAAACGAGTTGCAGATTGACACAGTAATTGGATGTATACAACAGAGTTGGTAATTAGTCATACAATATACTAATATTATATTATATATATTATAGTCATAGTTGACACGCCTCCCTGAAAGTCAATCACATTTGCTTCAAACATCATCCGGAGCAGGGAGTTGTAGGAGCCAAAGCCGGCCGTGGCGCTTGCAGGTCTCCCCGGTCGGCGGTGGAAAGTTGTGCGATCCGGTCGACAAGCTGGGGGACCTTGGCGAGATCAGCAAAAATACTATAAACATATGAATGCACAGTAATGTAATGTTATATCGGGCGCGCCAGCCATAGATACAAGGAGGCAACATATTTTTATAAAGCAACAAAAAGCAAAAGGTGAATATAAAGAAAGCAAAAACATATAGCTGTGCGTGTTTGTCGCTTTTTTT